GCTGAGAGTAATCATCGTCTGCATCCTAAAGGGGCATGGCGCATATGTTTAGTTCTTATACTGTGGATCATAGAAATTTATTAAACAGTTAAAGATGGCTTATCTTTGGCACTAAGCTGTGAAAGAGCAAAAACATAACTGCTACCAAAATATTCTGGATTATTTCATCAGCAGTGACAATGATAACACTTCTGTAAGATATTTTGAAAATTCTGTGTCATATGATAAATGACTAATACATATGTTCTTTTCTTTGCTTTTATATATATATATATATATATATATATATATATATGCATTTCATTTTGTCAATTTGCTAACTTCTAAATTGTAATATGTGACTATAATAAAATTTCCTTGTTGTTGTATACACCTTTTGTTGAATTAGAAATGGATTGCTTTATACTCAAGTAAAAAAAATCTTACTTTATTACTAAAAGTCATAAATAATCCATCCATTTAATTTTATAACTCTTTTTTTTTTTATTTTTAATATGCATTGTATCCACAATTGTTTACCACTTTTTTCAGGTTCATTGCTGACATAATTTCTAATGTTTACAAATTCTCTGGAAAATTCTTCCAGTTTTGAAAATAAACAGAATAGCCATGCCAAAAATAATGCACCAAATACTAAAGTTAAATAGTGAATAACATTTTAGATTGATTTAATAAGTAGATTTTTTCCTATTGTATTTAATTATACCAAATTTAAGAAAATGTATATGAGTTTTATGATGACTATCTTAAAGTTATATTTTACTCTAATAATCTAACATAGAAATAGGATATGGGTCATGTAGTAATGAAAGCATTAAATTAATAATAATATTCATTTTAGCTTTTGAGGTTCAGTACATTTATATATTTTAAGAAAAATAAAATATGAATTCAAATATGTCCACCATTTTAAAAAATAATCTAGTTTCCGCAATCTCAAAAAGAACAATATATTAAGCTCCAATAATATTTTACTCATAAAATTTATCATTTCTTAGTCCTTCAGAAAATACATATCACTGTAAAAGTAAAAAAACTTTCTTTTTCAGGTTCTATTTTCATCATATAAGAAAGACATTTAATGCTTAACAAGGTAACATTTCTGTTATTACGCTTAGGTTTGAAACATATGAGTCTTCCTGAGTGAAGACCTCACATAATTTCTTAGGCTATTATGGTAACTAAAGTATTATCAAATCCAGCCAAAAACACTTTGGATTCTGGGTTCATCATTGTAGATGCTCAAATGAGGAAATGTCTAGAACTGTCATCAGAAAACTTTTCTAAAAAGACTTGATGAAATTTACTTAATTGTAATAAATAAATGATTATGATGTAATCCTATTATTTAATTATTTGAGAATAACCTAAGATTCTCATTTAAGTTTTCTTGGACTGAGTGAAAGTATAAGCAGATGGAAATTTCATAATATATGATTTTTTTTATTTAATAATAATTTCAAAATTTATTTGTATTTTATTTTTGACATTTTAGAATTCTTTTCTTCTCTCACACATTTTATATAAATCATAAATCTTATAACACATTAGAGTCATAGGGACACTTTTGTATACATCCCCAGTGGAGGTCAACAATGCCAATTCATTCATATTGTTGTATCTTCTCTCTCTTGGCTAGGTAACAAGATGTTCTTGGGTCCAGGGATAAAAGACATCAACAAAGGTAATTTTAATCTTAACTATTTTATTAACATTGATGTATACTTCTCTAACTATCCAGTGGGGTTGCTCTCTAACCCCACCGGGAAGCCTCTTCCAGACTCAGCAGAGAACATGTCTACATTGTTTGATATTTAAGAAACAACTTCCTGAAAACCCTTTCTATATCTTTACCATTCCCATGCTTGTTCAGCCAATCAAAATCGACTTCCTTTTTTATCTTGTATCTGAACTCAAAGGTCAAACTCAGGAAGTTTGAGCAGAGATACTCTAAAAAAATAATAGTCTGTTAAACTATTATTTAACAACATTACATGCATTGCAGCTGCAATAGCAGTGGTATTTTCTAATGAAACTCAAGCCTCTCTAGGCTGGTTTGAATTCAGTTTTTTTTTCCTACATCAGTTGCCAAACAATGCTATAGAACCTAGTCTGTCCTGTATAAAGATAGACTCATACTTTTTCAAATGGTATTAGCATGTAAGTGAATGTAATGAAATCAATTGGAATTTGAACTTGGCTATCCACTTCCTCAATCTATCCATTATTTCACCATGCCTCCATAGACATATAGGCAGTGATTTGAAACAGAACAATCTTTATTTATTATATTTATAATCAGTCTAATGTCCTCATTTTGGTTGTTATCACATTATTTTAGTCATTGTGTCTTCCAAGCTTTTTCTGATGTCTGCTAATTTCAGTGATATTCAGACAACAAAACTTTATTTAATTTACTGGTGTATATTGTTCTTGATCCACTGTCCATGTCTAGAGATATTTCATTTTGTTCTTATTTTGGGTTCATGGCTGCATCATGTTGAAACAGTGGTTCCTGTACAATCACCGAAGTTAAGCAACATTGAGCCTGGTCAGTACCTAGATGGATGACTGTTTGGGAATATCAGGTGCTGTAAGCTTGGATGTATGGTTTGTGTAACTGATAATAGCTTGGAATTGTTAACTGAAGAGCAGAGTTCCAATTCCAGTTAGGTTCATTATATTTATTTACATGCAAATATGCTTGCAAAAGGTATGAATCCACCTCTTCGTCCCCTAGTCATGGATTAATTAGTAAGACTTGTATTACTAAAACATTATCTTAAAAGAAAAGTCATACAAGCTGAAAATATTTTTTGGCTTTAAATAGCTTGCAAAGAGTTGATAAGGTATAAAAATGAATAAAAAAAAACAATGTGCATATTTTGTGCTATTCAGTTATTGCTCTGTTTATTTCAATTGAGTCTAAATCTGTACGACTCCACCTAAGGATTGAACTCACAATTATTATGCCACCAAATTCATTAATCAATGTTTTAATATACTAGGCTATTGTCTTGAGGGTCAGTCCTGAACCTCAAACTTGACCCTTAAATGTTCTGCTTGCAGCAGCTATTATGGTTATGCTTAACTACATTCATGTCAGACATTAACGGCAGAATAAGGACAAGATATTCTCACAGATTTTTATTTAATCTATGGGAGAATACTGTTCTTTTTCAGTTTTAAATTCCCTGAAGGCTACCTGGATAGACAGACACCTGAAGAAGGTTGGAACACAATGCCAAAATATTGTGATAATCACAATACAGTTGGCGACATTTTTCCAAATGTAAATGATATGAAAAATGATAACTTCACATACCAGAAATTCAGACAGATCAATTTTAGAAACATGTTTGCATGTAAGCAAACATTTATCTCATCATATGCCAATACTGATTAAAGTTTTCAGTGTCAGCAATGAATATTGCTGAATATAGAATTCACATCTTTCACTTTAGATAGAATATAAAAAAAATATTTGTATATGTCAAAATCAGAATAAAACTGATTCTCAATTTCAGAGATTAAATGATGTAGAAGATTTTCCTGATTCTTTGTCTAATGAAATCTTGTATGGTGTTCATACATATTTTCAGGAATAATCCAAGTGTAGAAAAAGTTTCCTCCTCTGAAAACTACTGACTGGATATGTTCTTTGGAGCCAGAGAGGAACTGAAGCACTGTATACAGAAAGAAACCTTCAAGCACATTAACATGTTAATTTTTTTTATTTAACCTTGTATGCTAACCAGCAGAAAACTCACTTCTCCAGTAAGTTTTGCCCACTGGAGCATTAGAAGGTCAACTGGGCTGACCTCAAAAGAAAGTGTTTAAAAATAATGATAATTTTTTTCTTTAATAAATACATGAGTGATATTCTAAAACTATCAGCTGGATAGACCCAAATAAACTTTACTAATTATTTTTTTTACATAGTGTATGTAAACATCTTCAAAGTTTACACAGAGCCAGATCTTTGAATCATTGTCATATCTGGCTTTCTTCAAGAAAAGTATGCCATCAAAATTATTAAAAAACAACTACCAATTCTTCTTCTAGATTCCATGTCTCTTCAGGACATTGGCAATCATGTCTCTCAACAATTTCCTGTCATTTGCAACTCTTAATAAATTTTGTTTTTTTGTTATCTCTCAAACCTTGTCCAGCAATCTATTTAATCAAGCTCACTAAGTAGGTTATGTGTTGTTTTCCTCTGTCCTTCTTGTGAGTATCAATTTCTCCAACCCCTCTTTTCTCATTATGCACCCTAGAAATTTCAACTATCTTTTCCTGATATTAAGTGTCCTTCTAGATGCCATTGTTTCTTAAATTTTGCTGTTTCTCACATGTTTGGTCCATGGCATTCTCAGCATCCTTCTGCAGAAGCACATTTTTGTTGCTTTAAGTTTCTTCATCTGCAATATAGGAGGACTGATATTAGATAACGTTTCAGTACTCTAGTTGATAGAAATATCTCTTAAGTATTGAAATCTCTTGTAGCTCAGATAATCACTAAGCCCCTCACTTTATTTTTATTCATTTGAGACTATTAAATCACTGTTCTGTCTGTTTCTGTCAGATTTATTTTTGTTCAAACTCAACATAAAAGAATGAATAATTTAGCAAACTTTAATATCTTTTTACACGCTCATATATTTCTTATTATATTCTTGTTCTCTAATTCTGTTTATAAATTTCCAACTATTTTCACTGAGAACATCTTTCATTAGACATAATAGATAATTAGATAATAGCTTTAGGAAGTTAACAATCTTGTCAGAGAAGATATTTTCCAAAGAAAACATTCTAGTTATTATCTTTTGGAAATTTAAAAGTAAACATTTTTAAACTGAAAAGAAGTCCAAGATATACTGTCCACCAAGAAATAAGAGATTTTATTTATAGCTACATCTGATAGGAAGCCAATATCTTTGATCTTGTTGTGGGGTTTGGTGATGCATTGACCTTGTCTAAATGCTATTTTTATACTTTTTAGGGTTGAAAACACGTCACTCGACAATAACAAGATTTTCATATTATAAGCAAAATTCTATATGAGTTACAATGAAATACAATTCTGAAACAGTTTGTGTTTTTATAGGCACAGGAAAAATGATAAGTTGGTTTATTATATATTTCAAGATGTCAAATAATACACAATAAGTAACATTGAAGGCAGATACAATTTGTTATAATTCATAAACATTTTTAAATACTTATGTTTTCTTTATAATGATAAAATAGAGAAAAAAGTGTTTTGTTAGGAATTTCTTTTTGTAGTGTATATTCAATAACAATCTTTCTTTTATATCTTAGTAATACATTTCAAAGAAATTACTGCATTATTCAAAGAATACATATGTAAATAATTTTGGTAAGCACAGAAATAAAGAAATGTTTCCTTAACTGTAGCTGGCAACATATTTTATCAGAGATTGTCTTGAACATTTACTTTTTTAGGTATCTGAAGTCAAAAGTAGGAAAGTTTAGATTTTTATTCCTTTTGGTCATAAAATGCTTGTTATAATACATCATAGGAACATTCTATATATTATTTAACTTTTTTTATAATCTAACTTTTTCAGTCTTTATCATTAATTACAATTCTTATCTTATATTTTAAAGTATTTTTATTGCTTAACTTGTAATTTTTCTTTTCTTATTAATTATTTTGGTTCTACACTACTACTACATTGTGTACTATAGGGATTGGGGGTTATTTAGTCATTTATTTATTGCTATCACTACAGTCTATTTTAATAGTGATTTACAAAGCATAGCTTAGCACAAGGCTGGAAGTAGGGAGCTCTGAGTGAGAAATGAGCTCACTACTCAATTGTAATTGATTTAGTGAGAAAGCTTGCTAACCATTATACCACATTGAAATGCCCCTATCGTCTATTGTAATAAGTTATAATTACATTGCAAATAAAGCACAGTCAGCACCACTGGAATTCATAGAATTCTATCCAAAATAGTATAGGTCCTAAACTCTCAGCATTAAAATAAGTCTTTTAGAAAAGTGTATGGGAAATAAACCCTATTTCCAATACAATTACATAGCCATAAATATCATATTAAAACATGCCCAAACTTTATTTTCTAACCAATAACAGACAATATTCACAAACATGCCAAAAAGATTTCACAATACAACACACACCATTTAAACCAAAATGTCTATTGGTTGGAAATTAACATCACCATATGAAATATTTGACCAGTCAGAGAAAAATAAAGCCTATTTTAATTGAGCATACTTTCTGGAAAAATTGCTTAAAAAATGCACAGATATCAACTTTCACAGATCAGAGAAACAGCTTTCTCCAAGTTGTTCACAAGAGAACAGAGATATGTGAATGTCTCCACACCATGGATTTTTTCCTTCCCCACAGAGCATGCTAAAAGATATGTGTCAGCAGCATAAACAAATCGGCTACAGTCACCACAGCTTGGATGGTGAGTGAATCTTCACTGATGGCCAGTTGGCAACTTCAAATGAATCATCAACAATGAAAATGATGGCCAATGAATTTTTGCTAATGATAAAAGACTTTTTTTTCAACCACAGCTATTTTTCTATGGAATAGTTTTTTTTTTTTTTAAATCTTGTCTAAATGATAGCCTTTTTGGTGTATGAACTACCCAAAGACTATTTTTAATACTTAGTAATTCTTAATATAGCAAAAAATGTAGACAACTGAATTTCCTACAAGAGTGCTTAATTTAGTAGAATTTATCAGTATGAGGTTTTCAGGAAGGAACTCATAATTAAACAGTATGGTTATTAATAGGATTAATTTATGTTTTTGAATACAGTTTTAGTATTCTAAAATAAACAGCAGGACTAGTTGTCTGCACTTAACTTTTAAATATTTGATTTCACAACAAAATCTGATGAAAAGTATGCTAGAATGAACTAATCCCTTGCAAGATTTTAGTATATTGCAGTACATGTCAATATAAAATAAAAATGTTCTCAAAACCACTTCAAGAGCAGACTAAATAAAAACTTTTAAAAACCATGATAATAATGGTTTTATCTAAAAGTAGACAAAATGATCTTCCAACCTGAAGCGGGATGGACTCCATCAGACTACGTCACTGGGTACATGCCACTGCTAATATAGCATCAGTACATAACGTGCCTCTACAACCCTGATGGATTACAAGGCATGTAATGAGATATAAGATTAAGTGGTATAATGTTAAGATTATTTCTTCATAGAATGAAACACGTTGAGAACTGCTAAGTCATTTGAAACCTGTTTTACTATTTAAACCTAGAATGTGTGAATTTATTTTAAAAATGTATTTTAGCTTGGCATTAAATGAAGATGCTAAAAAGATGCATGTAACATTATCAATATTATGGTCTGGTTGGTTGAAATTTGCAGCTACAGTGAACTACAGGGTGATTGAAAAGTAACTCCCTATTTTATATATGATGAATTCTCCCATCTAACTATAATTTTTATATGACAGGAGAGTCCATTATACATAAAATAGGGAGTTACTTTTCAATTACACTGTATATTTTTTTTCTGAAAACCCACATGTAAGTAAAAACATTTTAATAATTCTCTGTAAAC